AAAAAAAAAAAAGAATTTCAGCAGTATGTAAAATACTATCCTATACAAATCTATTGCTCTGTGTATCATATAAACACAATGTCAGTAAATGAAGAATGCTCCAATTATATTGAAAAAATAAGTTTGCTATGTTTATTTACATTTATAACATGTTTATTCACCTTGTTTTTGTTCATGTCTTTAAATTTTATTATGATTTCATGGTGGCCATATACACTGTTTTCCTTAAAATATTAACTTACATAGAAGTAATTCTTTTTCTTGAAGCAACATATTGGTTTAAAATTAGGCTGATTACTAAATGAGCATTAAACTTCATGTTTTTAAGGTTGAGTTTCTTAATATATAATTAACAAAGAGGGACTAAAGGATGTTTTTTGTATGTAGATTTCAATGCATTTTTGATTGATACACTCATGTAATGATCACCACAAGGAAGTTACAGAATTCCAAGGTTTCTTCATACCCTTTTCTAACCCCTGAAGTTTTACCTCAACCTCTTATAGGATTTCTAGCTCAGAGTTTTGCATTTCTAGCATGCCCTACAAATGCAATTATGTAATATATAGCCTTTTTGTGTCTGGCTTTTTCCACTTAACAGAATGTTTTTGAGATTGGTGGACATATCAGTAATTCATTACTTTTTATTATTGAGTAGTATCCCATTACGTGGTTGTACCACAATTTATCCACTGATCAGTTGATGGGCACTTGAGCTGCTTCCAGTTTTCAGCAAATATAAATAAAGCTGCCTTAAACATTTTAATATAGCTCTTTGCTCGGACATATGCTTTCGTTTCTTTTCAGTAAATACCTAGGAGCACAATTCTTGGGTCATACAGTAAAATGCATGTATAACTTTATAAGAAACCATCAAAAGATTTTCCAAAATGCTTTATCATTTATAAACCAACGAGCAATGTACAGGGTTCTAGCTGCAACACATTTTCATCAATACTTGATATTGTCAGTTTTTAAATTTTTAATCATTCTAATAGAGGTGTACTAATATCTTATTGTGGCCATAATTTGCAACTTCCTAATGACTAACCACAATGAGCAGTTTTGCACGCACTTACTGGCCATTTTTACATCTTCTTTGGAGAAATGTCTGTTCAAATATTTTGCCTATTTTTAAACTGAATTATTTGTCTTGTTATTATTAAGTTGTTAGACTTGTTTATATATTCTAGATACCAGTCCTTTATTGGACATATGATTTGCTAACGTTTTCCCATTTTGCAAGTTGTCTTTTCACTCTTGTATTTTTTTTTTCTTGGAGATGAAGTCTTGCTCTGTCGCCCAGGCTGGAGAGCAGTGGTGTGATCTTGGCTCACTGTAACCTCTGCCTCCCGGGTTCAAGCAAATCTCCTTGCCTCAGCCTCCCAAGTGGCTGGTATTATAGGCGCCTGCCAACACACCCAGCTAATTTTTGTATTTTTAGTAAAGGGGTTTAGCCATGTTGGCCAGGCTGGTCTCAAACACCCGGACTCAACTGATCCGCCTGCCTTGGCCTCCCAAAGTGCTGGGATTATAGGTGTGAGCCACCGCACCTGGCCTTCACTCTTAATAGTATCCTTTGAAGCACCAATAAATAAATGTTTTTCATTTTGATTATATCCAGTTTATCTATTTTTCGTTTGTTGCTTGTGCTCTTCGTATTATATCTAAGAAATGACTGCTTAATCCAAGGTCATGAAGATTTCCACCCATGCTTTCTTCTAAGAGTTTCATAGTTTTAACTTTTAAATTTTCGGTAAATTTTTGTACATGATATGAGGTAGAAGTCCAAATTCATTCCTTTGCATATGGATATCCATTGTCTGAGCACCACTGGTTGAAAGGACTCTTCTTTCTTCTTTCACATGCTTTGCAACTATTTTCTCCCAGCCTTTGGCTTATCTTTTCACTTTCTGAACATTGTCTTCTGAAGAGGACAAATATTAAATTTTGATAAGTCTAATTTATCCTTTTTCAAAAATGGTTTGTATCATTTGTGTCCCATTAAGAAAACCTTGCCTAAGGAAAGTTGCAAATATTCTCTATGTTTTCTTCTAGAAGTGTTATTATTGTTTTAGCTCTTACATTTAGGTCGATAATCCAGTTTGAGTTAATTTTTGTAGACAGTGCAAACTGAGGCTTCAACATTGAAATAGTCTGTCATCTCTGTTGAAAATCAATTAACCATATACTTGCATGCACAGGTTTATTTCTAGATGTTCTTTTCTGTTCCACTGATTTATGTATTTATTTCTTCATCAAGACTACACTGTCTTGATCTTGATCTTAATCCTCCAACTTGCTCTTACTTTTCAAAATTGTTTTGGCTGTTCCAAGCTCTTTACATTTCCATATAAATTATAGGATTTCTGGTCACTTTATAAAAAAAAAAAAAAAGTCTGCTAGGGTTCTGAGAATATACAAACTCTATAGATCGATTAATCTGGGGACTGTTAACATTTTAATATTGAATTGTCCAATCCATGAACATTGAATATCTTGTTGTTAGGTCTTCTTTAGTATCTGTCTGCAATGCTGTGCATTTTTCAGTACACAGGTTTACACGTATTCTCCCAAATGTACCCCTAAATTTTTCATGTTTTTGCTTGTATTATAAATGATGCTATATATGTTATAATAAATCAATTTCTAATTGCTTAATTTTAATAAATATATGCGCAATTGTTTTTTGGATAATCTTCTAACTTTCAACCTTGCTGAATGTACTTAATAGTTCATGTAGCTTTTTTGCAGAATCTTGAGGATTTTCTATATGGAAAATTGTGCCGTCTAAATTAAGGAAGTTTTACTTCTTCCTTCTCAATCTGTATGGCTCTTCTTCATTTTACCTGATGGCACTGGCTAGGACTTCTAAGACAATGTTAAATAAACGTGGTTAGAGAGGACAGATTTGCCTTTTCCAATCTTAAGGGAAAAGCATTTGTCTTAAACAAGTAGATACAATCTAAACTGTAGGTTTTTTGTAGATTCCCTTTACTGGGGAAAGGAAGCTTCCTTCACTTCCTATTTTGCAGACAGATATTTTTAAATTGTGAACAGATATTAAATTTTATCAAATGCTTTTTCTGCATCTACTAAATTTCCTTTTAAAAATATGTTAATATGATAAATTAATTGATTTTTGAACCTTATACTGAACTTGGTAATCCTGGCATAAACCATCGTTGGTCATGATTTTTACCTACTGCTACATTTGACTTCCTAAAATTTTGTAATATTATTCTCTGCATTTTTCTCCAGTTTAAAAATTAAAATAAATTGTATAGGCTCACCAGTTAAAACAGTTTACTTTAGATTTATACTTTTATTTTACTTATTTCTATAAAGCATTAATGTCACTATTTATAAAATATAATATACAAGCATACTTAATATTATGAAAGCAACAAAGTGACATAGTTTAAGGAAGCATGTATTTCATTCTTGCTAGCCATTACTTTACAAAAACCATGCCCCACCATCTCCTTTGTACTAAGGAACATTTACCCCTTATCTACACATTCTCTGTAAATGCCAGTTATCATCAAGATAAACAATCAAGCCTCTCCATCTTTTTAGTTCTTTCACTATACTGTCAGGTAGGAACGTAAGCAAATGTAAACATTAATAAAATTTGCTTCTATGTCCATAAGACGTGGGAAATCATTAAAACTTTTATACTTAAAAAGTTCTCAGTTCAGAATCTGGCACCATATTCAAAAACTAAATTAAAACTGAATAAATGTTTAAAAATTGAAAAACTAAAAGAACCATAAAATTAATAAGTAAAATTCTAAGGCAAGATTTCAAAGTATAGAAATGATTTTAAAAATTTAAAAGGTATGACTATTTAGAAAAATAAAACCTTTGTTTTTTTTTTTTTTTT